CATTGTGGGAAAATTCTACTACCAGTCCTTCATCACCTTACACGAAATGGGGTGAATACATCTCATTATACTGATTTACTGGTAGTCTCGAAACCCTACTCTAATACGAATATTTGTATTATTTTCGCTCGTGCATTTCTTTTTGGGCTCGTGTGATTGCGTGTTTGTGTGCATTTATGCATGACACACTAAGCGACATGAATAGTGAAAGTCCAGGGCTTGATCTTTTTCGCCTATAGCAGGGATGAATGAGCAAATTGCTCAGCCTATCTTATTGTTGGACAGTCTCTACCAATCAGAAATGAGCAGTACCACTGAACTTGCTCACTTCGAAATGGGCAAAAGAAAGGTCATTTTAAGTCATATTTGTCCCAAATCCACAATGACTTGTGACACCAGAACTGCGCCGACGGATAACCAGCAGGTCACTCGACCTCAGAGTTGTCCGTCGCAAGTCTGACCTGTGCCGTGTGAAGACGACCAGGCCTGTGTTCGGACCTGTGCTTTCAAGACGCCTATGACCAAGGGACACCCATGACGCGATTGTCTAACGGTCAGGCTGACTCTCAAATCTACCGGAGTGAACTGTGTGTACAAGTGGTGTGTTTTGTCATCGTCTTATTGACGATTCCGTCTGTTGTTCGTCTAGTTCCTGACATCCACGAGGCAGCCGGTCGCCTAGACGACCGGACCCAATACTATCCATCCTATGCCTCTCTGAACAGGGCCGTAGGGGTAGCTCCAGATGCCATATTGCCCGGCCAGGCACGGGGATGGTCTGACTTGCTAAGAGCCTGTACCGAAGATGGTTGTTCACCCAGAAATGGGCTGATCCAAAGGGCGCTTTACGGAGGAGGGCTGAACAACGCCTGGCTAGTTGATCAATTCACCGATTTTCGTGCTCTGCCCATTTCAGGCTCCTGCGAGGCGGCCGGTGGAGATGGGTTTTGCCGTCGCGTCGTACCCAACAGCTTCTGTGCCATGCGTCGGGACGAGTGCTTCTGCCTGCCCGGTCATGTGTCGGTGCAAGAGGAGAACGGACGCATCGTGTGCAAGCCATGTGAGTCGACTCTTTTCCTCTCCCTATTGTCCTCGCCCAACGTGCCCTCTTCTAATGGTACCGATGACGCAGAAAGTGAGGCTGGTCTCAGTAACTGCTTGATGGGGCGGAGAAACTAGGCGCAAACTGTGCTGTCTACGATGGAGTGAACGAGTGGCATGATTTTGCCTATGTATTTGGAGGTTCCCCTAGGATCTCGTCACTATCAGTAAAACCTAAAAGTAGTGCTGAAAGTGAATGCTCCCACAATATTATAACTACTCTATAGGATACAATTAACTTTTAATTAGCCTTGCTTCCAAAAGGTATTCTCATTTCGGCTGGACTGCAAATTTAACCTCAGCCGAGTCTCATTGAGCTCTTTAACAGAACTCAAAGCCGGATATTGACAAATACATGTTGGCCACTATGAAGATGTGATATGAGAGAGGCCTAGCTTGCTTTGAAATTAACTTCCATTCTGCGACCGACTGACGATCCTGTAACATGTCGATATTATAGACTGCATTATCCGGGTTCGATTCCCGTTAGGAGTGCTGATGGGACTCGGATGAGGTCAAGACTGCATTACAATCGGGGCGATGACAACTTCTGGAGGCAGGATTAAGTTAATTTCACTGTAAATATACGGCCCACTTATTTGGTTGTGGGAAAATTCCCCATCAGTCCTTCATCACCTTAAGCAATTTAGGGTGAACAAGGCTGTGATTCTGCCCTATCCTTCACAAGGTTTGATTTATATTCTGGCGAGATAGCAGATTTGGCCTCGCCTTGCTCTCATCAGCCCCTAAACTGGAATTCGAAGAAGAGACTTGTCATAGCGTGGATTCAGCCTCTAGCGAGCGACAGGTTAGTCTCATTTCACATCACTACTAGAGATGGGCGTAGATAAGGCAAATGAGTATTTGCTAATAGATTGCGTATGAAAGTGTAAGTTGACGATTTCCACAGGTCAATTTCACCGAAAGACGACGGCTGATTTCTGTTGTTCTGCTGCCGTTTGGTTTTACTTCGACGTTTATAACGACGCAGTCAACGAGACCTGCTCCTTCGCTTTGGGTGAAAACGACGTTGCATAACATCTGAAATCAGCCGTCGTCTTTCGGTAAGAGCTCTTTATGTCAGCACCATCATGCAAAATGAAAGTCATCATGGTAATATTATCTTAAGAGATTTATCGGAACCCAGCTACTCATCGTATAAAATTGAAAATGTTAATGCATACCAACTCAATGGTATTAAAAGTTATTAGTTTAATTACGCATTAAAAATTTGAAAGTCAC